ACGTGGTGATACCACTTAGCGCTACTCAATTCTGGCATGGTGGTATCTCACCGGTCGACGCCCAATGAGTAAAAAGCGTCTACCACCTACAAATTATTAGAGATTAAATACGGTATCCGCCAAAATAAACAGTACCGAAATCTAGAGCTCTGAGTAATTGCGCACGCAAGTTGCATTTATCATATTTTGCTTACTTGGCATTAGTTATGAGGTTGACATTAAGTTAAGGTTAAAATCTTCGTCATTATGTATCTTTCAACTTCTTCAAGAAACAGTTTTCTTAGTAGAGTACTATTTCCCGGTCATACGGATTTGGAAGGAATAAAGGCTCAAGTTTGAAATAAGTCTCAGAAAAATTTCAGCAACCACTCTTAATAAATATTTTCAATGATTTGCAGGATCGTTATGGAGTTTTTTTGCGTCGCTATGATGCTTTTTTTGAATATATACGCATGATACAAATTAATAAATGATATAATTTATATGTTCAGTACTGTTTATTTTGGCGGATACTGTACTTATCAGTTGTTACACGATTATGGAAACTGCCGACCACCAAGCAGTGTTGCAGCGTCTACGCTGTTCATGGCTGTATACGTGAAGGCGGTTGTGCCTATACGTTAATTATGGTGTGTTTTTTTTTCTGTATTTTACATTTTCAATATTTCTGCTTAGAGTACCTACAATGAATGATGTCGTAGAATAGCTAGGTTTTTATCAATATTTTCAAAAATGTACCTAAAATTGCAATAGTAATGTTAATTCGATAGTGACAGCAGAATACAAATAATTACAACTCAAAAATTCATATTTATGCATTACAGAATGTAACAATTTTTTTCTAATGAGAAATCTTTAAGCTCATAGCTGGAAACCATTTTTCGTTCGCATTAAATAATTTAGTGTGACAAGCAAAGCAAAACTAATAAAAGTATTAAAATAAAATTTCTTACCCTATGTAATAAGCCGAGGAATCCATTACTAAACAGGTAATAGGAAGCTGAGCAAACACAGGAAACCTCAGAGACAGCAATTCATAAGAAAAAGACATCACGGCAATTGCACATATTGCTCTAATAACAAAAGAAAGAACTTTATATCTAGAATCTACTGGAATAACACCCATGAACTGTCCCTGATTCCGCAAAAACAAAAGTACTTTCAAATCATCCTGCATGTTAAGAGAATTTTGGTCAATTTTTGGGCAATGTTTGCTAATAATTTCTGAAAAAAACTTTCCCGTCAGATATTGTATGTGGGTCAACGACTATTAGCTAAATAAGGCGAGAGACAACAAGACACTATAATAAATAGCTTTATAAAGACCATCATTCAAGTGCTTACGATTTAAAAAGACATTAATTAGATACTGCTTTACGATTTTATATAGGTAAAATGATATCCATAGCTTATTAAATATCGTTCTATTACATTTGTCAAACATAGGTACATAATGCAACAAAATATATAAAGAAATATTTTTTTTCTAAAAATTCTGACATGTTTTGTTAGGTATATCAAACATGCAATTAGAAAAATATTTTTGATAAAAGAATTATTTATAGGAAGATATATGCTTCTAAATTTCACATTTAAGTTTTCTTTTCATACCTATTTGTAAAACGAATTCACTGTATATTTGAAAGTTTTGTTAGTAACAGAAACAGCAAACTAAGTAGACTAGAAAGCTTAATTTTATTATTCAATTATTACGTGTAGCTGACCGTGCTGCTCTACGAGGTGCAATTTTATTTGAACATCTCTAAGTCAGCCGTAAAACCGGGCTCAAACGACTCGTGTACTTGACGAATAATCGTTACTTGCGTATACTTGCCATGTCGTGTGAGTGGGTTACTTGTACAATTATTTGTAAATAATTGGCTTTTACTGCGATTATTTCATTTAGTTTTCGACGAGCATCAAGGTTTAGCCAAATGTTCGCGCTCGCGTACTTGTAAATTGAACACGTCGTGTGAGCGCCCTGCTTGCCATCGCAATTCGCAATGCTAGTATACTTGCCAAGTACGCGAATAATTGTGTATTCGCCAAGTACACGAGTCGTCTGAGCCCGGCTTAAGACCTTGGTTTTGAATAGTTGGTCCCCATCATTCCGGGATGTCCATTGTCAATTTCTGGTCATATAACTTTTGTTTCCAAAAGTATCCAAAAATCTTTACATTAATATCGCAGTACAACAAAATCGTGAATTTGGGGCACATTTTGTAACTTATGCAATGTATCGCAAAAACATGTTCCAGGAAGCTATATTTCAGTGTCTGTGGGCGGTTTTTTCTTGTTTAAAAGCATTATCGGTTATTCACAAAATCTACACCATTTAAACCTCAATTTCGGAAAAAGTAAGTTTTATTTAGGAAAATGTAAAGTCATTTTCGGAAATAGTCAAAAGAATTTCAGAAGAAGTAAAGTTAATTTCGAAAAAAGTAAATTCAAATTCGGAAAAAGTAAATTCAAATTCGAAAAAAACAAAAAATTAAATTCGGAAAAAATACATTCAATTACCTAAGGAGAAAGTATAAAAAAGCAACAGGGGTGTGTTTATGCAAACTACATCTAAAATCAACAGCCTATTATCAAAAATGATTTTAATGCAATTTATCTATGAGTTTCTTTGAACTTTTTTTTTAGGAGAAACATAACCTAAAGCTCTTTTAGACGCCCTCTACAAATGCCTATATGTTTTTTCCAATGCTTTTAATGTAGTATCTACTCATACTATTTACTGTGTAAATCCGTACTATAAGAACTAGCTATAAAAAAATCTTAATTTTCTGTACATTGCACATTATTGGAAAGACACATATGATGGACAAGCCTTTATTCAGGGCTTGTTTGTAGTGACTTTGGTAGCGTTTACACAAGTCACATAGGTGATAAAGATGTCGTACCGAAGCAATTTGAGATTCAAATTCAATTTGAGTATGACGTGACGGCTCGCAGTGGAATATAAATCAAAAAATTCATTATTGCTACTGTTATTTTTCACTTGTCAAATCTGTTTCAATCAGACGGAATTCAATATCCCTGCTTTCAGACTGTCTGACAAATGAAGCCTTAACATAGTCTGCTAATAAAGAATTAGTATTGGCAACGGCTATTAAAACTCATATTTCACGGTGCAGGTTTTCGAAACAGAATGTTTTAAAATGAGGGCTTATATTATGCGTTGAAAAAACCAGCGCAAAGCACAAGGGCTGCCAATTTTTCAATTGTGAAAAACGTTTGTTTCATACCAAGCGAGACCAAAACCACAGCTTATTTAATATCCTTGCGAATGATGTTTAGAAAGTTTGAATGTAGAGAGTTCTTAAAGGATATTATGAAGTCACTCACAAAAATTTCTGAATTTCTATGGAGGCATTATTCAATACCTAGTCATTATACCATCATATTGTTGGACTTCCTGGATCCTGGATTCCTCTTTTCACCTCTAAGTAATTGTTGTTGTCCTAGGGTCCATCTTCCAGTTTTTGATCTAATCCCACTTGATTAATTTTCTGTCTTGCAAAGTTGCAGTTAATATTATTCTTTTCATCCAGCTGTGTGCTTCTTCATAGTTCATCTTGTCAGTGCCCCATGTTTCATAGAGCAGTGCGAAAATTACACAGTGCTAATTTGATTTTCTTTTCTTGAGTATCTCCTCTTATATTTTTATTCCAGGTTTACTTGTATTGGTCCACTTTCTCAAATTCTGTTTCGTTTAGAACTATTTTTTATTGGCTTTCTGGAAGTTTTGTACTTTCCACTATTTTCGCTCTTTCACATTTTTCACCGAAATATACTCCTGGACAAAATTATCGCACCACCACTGCACATAAGCACCATAAGCATTGGTGCGATAATTTTGTCCAGGAGTATAAATACAGTGTGTCAAAGATAAGGATGGGATAGCATTAGGATCGAGGAACGGTTGGAATAACAATGTTGGTTAGATTAGGAAAAAATTGGGCAATTTCACTACCTTTTACGTAAAGCTTGTAGGATTGGGATTTCTTTTTCCAATATAGATTTTTTTTTTTGAAAAAAGTGATTTATTTCTGACGGTATTTTGACAGATATCAAAAAATGAAAAACACTTTTCCGTTGTCACATTTTAGGCTCAACAAGATGGCATTCACATATTTTCACTGCGACGTTTGGCTTCCCAAAAACCATGATCACCTCCATTATGTTGAAATAATTTAGGAGAAACCTCCTGAGTACGGAGTGATCTTAATTGATTAGATATTTACATTTCACAAATTTTGATTATTAATTGGAAATATATTTTTTTGAAAAATATTAGTGACTGAAATTGTTAGAAATTGTGTGCTTTTTCCTTTTAAACTGCTATGACTCTACCCAATACTAATATATATTTTTGAAGCATTCAGAGCCGTAGGTACCTACTCCTAAATTATTTCGAAATATGGCTTTAACAAGCTAAAAACATATTCACACCATTACAAGTGTAATATCACCTAAGCTAACTCAGAATTCTAAATGGCTTCAAATTTTGTTATAAAAATAACAGAACCGTCTTAAGAAAAATTAAGTTGATGATGGTTGCTGGGAAACAAAACTTCCAGTGAAAACATGTGAACGTCATCTTGTTGAGCCTAAAATAGTAAAATGTGATAATGGAAAAGTGTTTTTTATTTTTTGATATCTGTCAAAATAACGTCAAAAATAAATAAAAGCCAAAATCGAAAAAAATTACTCTACAAAAAAAATCGAAATCGGAAAAAGAAAGCCCAATCCTACAAACTTTATGTAAAAAGTAGTCAAATTGGCCAACTTTTTCCTAATCTAACCAACATTGTAGCTCCAACCGTTCCCCAAATCCTCCGTCATATGAATTGTCTTTTCGGGGTTAAGTTCCCATATCTTACTTTCTATTTTGATTGACTTATTTTGTAACATGTGCGTGATAAAAGTACCTATGTCTAATATCTCATTTTAGGTTTCTTCATGTAAATTAAATTATATAGGTACCTTTTCAGGGGATCAAACCTAAGATATGAATCATTCCTCTAATCTGCTAGAAGGACTATCACCCAGACCCAAGCCATGCCCATTGGTTCGTTTAGGACCCAATCATTCTAGCACCGACGACACCAAACCATCTACAGATGGAAGAGAAAAATATCAACCCTTCAAGTATGACCAGTACAGTCGCCAAAATGGCAGAATGTTTCATGATGAACACGCATCCAGTGCAGCAGGTTACGACCTACAGAAACTGCATGCATCTTCTGACGAATCTGATTATATGGTGAGATTTATAGATTATTACATCCAATATACACGAATACTTTTTTTAGCAAACCTACTATGACCGCCAGTCACATTCCTATCTCAGTGAAGATCCCGACTACGGTAATAAATCATCTCACGCTCCTCTAGCGAGAACAAATTTAAAATATGCAAAGGGTTCCATGGATCTTTCTTCTTTGTGTTTGAGTTCGCCATACTGGGAAAACGATCTGTACGAAAGTAAAGAAAGTGTCAGCGATAAGTCATCTAATCAATTCTATCATTTATCACCAAATCAATCCCACGACTCTAGTTTCCTGTTTGACAATTTCGAAAAAATGGGCAAATCTAGCCCCAGCTTAGATCAAGGGTATGCTACTTTGGTTACTCCGGGTGGATCCTCTAGTGCTAGTCTTTGGAATGAAGGAAATATTTACCAAGCAAAGAGATTCCAACCCAAGAATAATTTCTTCGACACACTCTCGGATCAGCAAGTTATTAAAATCTTCACATATCTTAATAGCATCGACCTGAGCACTGTTGCTCAGGTTTGTAGAAGATTTGATGCTCTAGCATGGACACCATCATTATGGCGTACCATTATTATTGAAGGAGAATATATTAGCGGAGACAAGGCTATTAAAGGCGTACTAAGGCAATTGTGCGGCCAGGATCGAATCGGTGCCTGTCCAACTGTGGAAAGAGTCCACATTAGGAATGGTGCTAGAATCTGCGACAAGACCCTAGTGTTGCTGTCGAAGAGATGTCCTGAACTCAGGCATTTGCAGATTCAAGGCTGCATGGGTGTAACCAATAATGCTTTGTTTGAAATTGCCACTCGATGTGCGAACTTGCAACATTTGGATGTAGCAGGTAAATATACTATTATTTTCTATTACTATGCAATGTCGAGAATATTTAGTTTAGTCCTAAAAAAATTGTGTTTGAAGTAAGTATTTCAACTCAAACTTTATAAGTTGGAAGGTGATATCGTAATATAACCTGCTCGACAGGAGTTAAGGATAATATGGAAGTTTTAAGTTTTCATCGTAGAAAAAAAAAAGGAATCGCTTTTTTAGGTGGATACGTATAAACCTTATCAATATAAAAAAACAAACTCTGTGGAGCAGTTTATTTGACAATTCTGAGCATACCCATACACATTTTCAGTATATTGTCACGACTCTGGTGTGCGTGACAGAAATCTTGGGTTCGTTTATTCCAAAATCAAAGTCCAATTAACACAACAATAATTTATTCCACGGTGCTATACACACTCTGACACTAATTACTTCACTAATTAACTCAAACAACTTTACTCTTCACAACTCTCACAATAATCACTATCTTAAACTTAAAAACTACTAACTTATACCGGCCTTTATATATCCGTAATCCATTCTTGTTAAGTCCAGAATAAGCTCCAGATTTAATTCTGTACACCCTGGCGAAAGCGCCACACTGCCTTCCTCTTAAGTTTGATCGTCCCGATCGACTTCGCGCCCATCATTTTTCGTCAATCTGTCTAGATATATTTGTTACCATGCTCTGACTCGGGGAATGGTCCGGCAACATCTATCGCTATTCTTTCAAATGGAAGACCGACGTTGACGTTGTAGTTTTGTTTGTTTTTTGTTGTACTGTTTCATGGGCCCCCAAGATCTTAGTTTAGGGCCTTTACTGGTAGCACAGATGTCGCATTTTCGGAACCAGTTTTTAACGTCTTCATGATAGTGAACCCAGTGAATTTTGTCCAAAGTCTTGTCAACTCCAAAATGTGCCCCTGAAGTTCCACATGTTTTTTTTTACATCTTCTACTCGATCTTCTGGAATAAATAGTTGGCTCTTAGTAGTTTTCCCATCGGCACTTTCCTAAACTTTTGTTCGACACTTCCCTCCATTCTAACCTACCTTCATCATTTTCTTTAAGATGTAGAATTTGCCCGATAACCTGGTCTGCCTCTTGATCTACTCTCATTTGTTTGATAGACCATTAAATTTATTATCAACGAAAAGACCCGTTCTTCTCACAGTTGGAACAGTGTTTTTCTCATGCATATCGATCGAAGACTAGAACGTCAGCATTTTTATGCACGTTTCCAGGTCGATGTTTGATTTGGAAATCGTATTACTGCAACTTCTCAATCCATCTAGCAAGCTGTCCTTCGGGAGTTTTCATTTCTAAAAGCCATGTTAGAGCTGCGTAATCCGTTCGAATTAGAAACTTACTGTAGAGATACTTATGGAAATGGTCGACTGCTTTTACTATGGCAAGCAACTCTCTTCTGGTGACACGATAATTTCGTTCTGGCTTTGATAAGGTTTTGTTGTAGACAACATACTCTTGTGAATTTTGTCTTTGTAAAAGGACAGCTCCAATACTGGTGTTGCTTGCATCTGTGTCCAAAATCAACATGCCTTTCTGATCGGGATAGGACAACACTGGACTTGTACATATTGCTCCTTTTAATTTTCTGAAAGCGGAATCGCATTATTGGGTCCAATTGATTGTAGATTTTTCTCCCGTTAATCGATAAACCGGAGCAGCTATAGTGAATCCTTCTAAAAATCTTCGATAATAAGAACATAATCCTAGAAAGCTCCTTAGTTCATGTTTGTCGCATGGCTTTGGCCAATCCCTGACAGCATATATCTTTCCTTCCATAACTTGTATGCCATCTTCAGATACCACGTGACCTAAGAATTCCACTTTCTTTTGAAATAGGAAACACTTATTTGGATTGAGTTTCAAATTGACTTTCTAGTCGAAGACTTCTTTCAGGTTATTGAGATGTTCTTGGAATGAATTTCCCATGATCGCATGCTCATGACATCATCTAAATACACCAAGCAAGTTCTCCATGTAAGGCCTCGCAAAACTAGATGCATCAGTCGCTCATACGTAGCTGGTGGATTACACAATCCGAAAGGCATTACGTTAAACTGATATAACCCACTTTCGGTACTGAAGGTAGTTTTCTCTTTGTCATCTTTGTGTAATGGCACTTGCCAGTATCCACTCTTAAGATCCAAGGTGGAAAACCCTTTGGAGCATGATAGAGTTGTTAATGTATCGTCTATTTTCGGGAGAGGGAAGCTGTCCTTCTTGGTAACGTCATTAAGCTTACTGTAGTCTACACAAAATCTAAGGCTTCCATCTTTCTATACTACTGGCGCAGACCATGGACTATTTGACTTTTCAATAATTTCCTCTTAAAGCATTTTATTAATTTGGTTTTCCACTTCCTGGTTGTTTAGCTACTGGCATACGTCGAGGTGGTACTAATTGGGTGTGCCAATCCAGTATCAATTTTGTGTTCAATCAAACTGGTCCGTCTGGTTTGATTATCCATCACAAATACGTCTGCTTCTTTCAAGATGAAATCTTCGGCTTCTTGAAATCTATCTGAATCGAGGTGTTTCCATGATTTCTCCATAGTCTGCATCAAGGTGTCTGTATCCAATTTCGGTTTTACAAAATGTCGCTTATCTGACTGGTCACTGTTCAATATTTGCTTAACTGGTTCGAGAGTTCCTTCGTTTATTTTTACTGTTTCAGAAGAAACATTGTCAATTCTTATCATAATGTCTCCATTTGTTCTTACTAGAGTCCTCCCAACGAGGAATTTTTCTGGTTTATCTCCAATAAAATTATTTGTTAGTCCAACACAGCACCCAGGGTTTGTTTCCAATTTTCCGCAAATGATCTTCTCAGTACTTCCAGGAATCCTCACCAGGTTTGTTGCCAGGATCTTAACGGCTTGAGATTCTTCTTGTGTAGTAAGGACAAATTCTTCATTCGGTTCAAAGTAAAAAAAACTATATTCAATATTTATCCAGTTTTTGCCTATATCTTTTATCTGGACCAATGGAGAGTGTCGTCAATTTTCATTTCCTATGTAAAAAAACATGCTTTTTCAAATGGGGAAGGTCCCATTTGGTTGGAAGTCGATTTTTTTTTTATGCATCCTAGAAGAAGCTATCCGACGGACTATTACTAAATTCAAGCATGTTCATAGAAGGATCGAAAGAGAAAACATGTTGGCCGATCAAATCCATTCCTAAAATGAAATCATCCTCTATATCGGCGACTAATTTTCTGTTCCTATATAAAGGTGGTATAGATCCAAAAGTAAGCTTGCTTCTCCTTGAACTGGTGTCGATTCGCCCGTGACTGTTCATAGTGAATAGTGATAGGTTTCTAGTGAGCGGTTGCTAGTAAGCGGTTGGATTGCCCGAGACTTGACTAATGTTTTTCTAATTATAGAAACTTCAGCACCCGTATCAAAAGTGATGGTTTTAAATTCTCCATTAATTTGTCCTTCGAATTTTAATTTTTTATAATGACTACCCAATTTTATGTAAACAACCCTGGGAGCCTCGTCATTACTAACCAGCATTCGCCCCTCCGTACTGGTTGGTTCCTGTCTGTTATTAGAGCTAGCGTTTCTAGATCTTGAAAAGCGTTGGGAACGATCCCTAGATGGAGAGGACATCCTTACTCTACAATGCATGTGTCCAAGCTTATGGCACCGGTAACATTCTACCCGGTTTGTCGTGTCGGTGTTGGAGTTTGTCTATAGTCGTTTCCCGTTTTTCTACCTTCCAGTAATAGTTTCTCCATTTTCTCCATGAAATAACTCATAACATTCTCGAAGCTACCTTCCTCTTTTGACGATTGTTTATCCTTTGGGTCTTCAATGGACACTGCTCGTATTCTAGGTCGTGAGGTACTAAAGATTGCTTCCAGTTCCAATGCTCGGACAAGGGCTTCGCTACTTTGTCTGAAATTAGACATTCTCAGGTTTTCCTGGACCTTGGAATCTCTGAGACTATCAATGAACACAGATACGGCCATCCATTCCTGCATGTCTTCCCCAGCTGCAGGAAACGCCAAACTCACTAGCCTCTTAACTTCCAATTCGAATTCTTGTAAACTCTCGCCGCGTTTTTGAATTCTTGGAATGGACTGAAGAAGATCTGAGGCAGGTCATCTTAGCGCCACTATCAGTGCTGTAGCTTTTCCCTGATAGTTCCATCCATTGGTGTTTGCAGCGGCTTCAAATTGTCGGATATACATGCTCCAGGACGTAGAACCACCAAAAGTGGGTGGTTTTATCTTCATACTAAAGAATGATGCTCCAACACTACCTGGATTGATGTACTGTATTTCTAATTTATTCATCTTATGTTCAAGTGCTTGAACTTGGTCCTCATCTCCTTGTCTTAATTGCATTAATTTTCCTCTGCCTCTCCCAGAAATTTACTCAAACATCCGATGACTACTTCTTGGCCAGTTTCAATCTAGGAGAGAACGAGGAATATTTATAACAATAATATAAGAACAAGAACAGCATTGATTGAAATAAATGTCGGCAAATTGAAATGTTGCCCTCCTGGTTGGACCACTCTTTAGTAAAATATAATACAACGGTCGAAATTTGATCGTGGCGCCATCTAAGACAAAGATTCAACACTAAACAGCAATTTTTGCTGCAATATATTGACTGACTATCTAATCGGCCGACCAAAATTCAGTTCTCATCATCAGTGGATAATAGGTTTTCCTATTCTGGGTTTTCCCACGAACTGAATTTTGGTCGGCCGATTAGATAGTCAGTCACCATATTGCAGCAAAAATTGCTGTTTAGTGTTGAATCTTTGTCTTAGATGGCGCCACGATCAAATTTCGACCGTTGTACTATTTGTATTCTGCCTACAGGCACGAAACTCGGTTTGGTTTTCTTTGCTTTTCCTAGCCATGCTGATGAGACCTGATAGGTCGAAACGCGTCTATGGATGGAAAAACAGAGAAAATCAAGCCAAAAATTTTCTCATCATCAGTAAAATATAATAATATTTTTATGAGTTGGTGCTAAGTATGCACAGTGGCGTAGATAGCTTTTCGACCTGGGGGGGGGGTCCAGGTCCAGCGCTGCAGGCAAATTCGCCATACGCAAACATTTGTAATTGTGACAGGACAGGTAAAAAAATGGCGGCAATTCGACCAACCGAGACTACTTTAGTAAAAATACATTATCTTTTCCAAAATTATTACCGAACTTTTAAATTAAAAGAAAGTTCATATGCGTTATTTGGGAACGGTAAGATTCATAAAAAAATATAAGAATAAAGTTTTATTTTAATTAATCAGGTACAATTTAATGTACCTAGTGATATAATTTATATTATATGGAATTTATTCTTTATTTCCAGGGCTCTGAAAGTAAAGAATAAATTCCAGTCTTCTTGGCTTTTTGTCTAAGTGGTCCATAACATCTTCAGCTATAGGTACTAACTCTTTATTATTAGATAAAGAGGCCAAAACATTTAACCTGCGTTAAAAAGAAAACAACGCAATAGAACATTTTTGAATTAAAATAGAAATAATACCTCTGACATCGTATTTCTAAGGTACGTTTCATTCTTTTTCAAACACACTGAAGGACAGAGATAAAAATATATACCTACGCAAATAGTGGTGAGCACGGTACATCAATGTTCAGAAAACTTTGATATCGAGATTAAGATAGATTACGATATTAAAACGAGGTGATGAAAACAAACTTTGTTAGAATTTTTATTTATTTTTTCTCTGTCTCTGTGGCTCTGGGGGGGGTCCAGACCCCCTGGACCCCCCCCCCCCGTATCTACGCCACTGAGTATGCACTGAAAGTATTGTCGGATATTTTCGGTATACTCAACCATTATACAAATACAACTTTTATCTAGCTCTTCTGTAGTTATCGTCTATTCTGACTCTTTTCAAAGGAACTTATTAAATCTTAGCTTGATCATCATGAAGAAAACTTATTTGTGTTTCCAGGTTGTATGAACATTTCCTACATTAGTGTTAATGCCGTTGCGGATGTCAACAGACGCATGCAACTCCAGTATTTGGATCTTACCGACTGTGTCGCGATTCAGGATATCGGTCTTAGGATTATCGTCCAGAATTGCCCATTACTCGCTTTCTTGTATCTCAGAAGGTGTTTCAATATTACAGGTGAAGAATTATGATTTCTTGTTTATGTACTTTGCTATAATTTTTTTCTAAAATTTTAGATGCTGGTCTAAAATATGTGCCAAGTTTTTGTTCCGGACTTCGTGAACTGAGCGTGAGTGACTGTTCAAAGATTACTGATTTCGGCTTGTATGAGCTAGCCAAGCTGGGACCAATGCTACGCTACCTTTCTGTAGCAAAATGTGATCAAGTCAGTGACGCTGGTCTCAAAGTGATAGCAAGGAAATGTTACAAGTTAAGATACCTAAATGCCAGAGGATGTGAAGCCGTATCTGACGACGCCATAACAGTTGTAGCTAGATCCTGCACTAGGCTTAGAGCTTTAGATATAGGAAAATGTGATGTTAGTGATGCTGGGCTTAGAGCCTTGGCTGAAAGTTGTCCGAATTTAAAAAAATTAAGTATCAGAAATTGTGAGCTTGTTACTGATCGTGGCGTTCAGTGCATATCGTATTACTGTAGAGGTCTTCAACTATTGAACATTCAAGATTGTCAAATTTCATTGGAAGGTTACAGGGCTGTCAAAAAATATTGCAAAAGATGTGTGATTGAACTCAGCAATCCTGGATTTTTTTAAATTTTTTGTTATTTTATTTATTCTTTTTTTTTTTAAGAAAAATGTTATATTTATCATGTAAATTTGTATATCTTTTATATTTTCGAAATATAGATACCTGAGGTGTATTTCAAAAAATTTTGCTTGTTTTGGTTAACATTGATACGCACCCATACATTTAAAGAACATTTCCACAAACTGATTTCTCAAATGTTCACTTAGGAACAAGATGAAAATGTCAAGGATGTACTTTCTGGCATACGTTACTCACATTATACTACAACCCTACTAGAAATGTAGGTACCGTCAGCATTTATTCATTCTGTACATGTATATGGCACCTAGCATAATCCCATTGGTCAGATTTTAAAATTTAAACCAATTAAACTTCGAGTGCCATACGCGCGTACGGAATGTAAATTGGTGCCATATGCACTTACGGAATGTTATACCTAGTTATTGCAGCAGAAAATTTTGTTGAGCTGAAAACGAGTTAAACGTCAATTATTCTTCAACTATATCTATTTTAAGCTGCAGTAAATACTGTATCTCAAATTAAGTGTAAGTAATGGCGTATTGATTTTCTATTTGTTTTACGGAATTTCGAATGTAGTAATTAGGTAGGCATTATCAACAAATTACAAACATTCGGTGCCGGTACTTTTGCTCTCATTTGACAGCCGTTAAAAATAATCAGGGCTTTGAATGTACTCTAACCACATCATACTTATATCATAGACTTAAATACTACGAAGTATTTAAGTCTATGCTTATATAGACCTTAGCCCATGCAAAACTTTGACAACGTATCAAATTCTTTAATCGAGAGCAAAAGTATCGGACCTTGGTGTATTAATCTAAGATTCGGTTAGCAGAGAAAATATACATAGAGTATCAGAGCGAAAACGTCAATATGTTTATTGAATAATATAATCAAAGACACAATTCTTCCACCCATCGTCTAGCGTCATCTTCAGGCATTAGGTTTGCTGTATATTTTCCAGGACTCTGTTCAAAATATCTATAATACAAAGGCAAATAACGTTGTCGCAGCATGCATGGCGATTTCAAACACCCAAATAAACACAAGGGATCTGATTAAAATAATGTCGGCGAAGCAGGAACTGTCAATTTCTTGTTCAAAATATTTCTGAAAAAATCGAAAGACAGGTCGCAACGCCAAACTCCATAGAAGTACCACCTATGTAAGCCCGACAATCACAATAATCAATAAAATAGAACATGATATTTGGCCGCTGCGCATAACGCATAACTATTACAGTCCGTAAATGCATATGGCACTGATTTACATTCCGTACGCGCGTATGGCACTCGAAGCTTAATTGGTTTGAATTTTGAATCTGACCAATGAGATTGTGCTAGGTGCCATATACATGTACGGAATGAATAAATGCGTACCACCGTCAAACGGGGTTAAGTGAATTAGTATGGGTAAAGTGAATCACTTGGATGGATTTTCACATTTCAATGCGCAGACTCCATTCTTTTGAGCTCTATTTATTGTTCGCATGATATTCGTACGTAACGTAACGTAGTGATGCTAGTGGTGTGGTATGCCGTTGGTTTCGAAAACGTGAACCAGGATGAACATATTTTACATTCACGTTTTTTTTGTAATATGGGGTAAAAGTCGAAAAGTTGTAGCAGCAAAGGGGTATGTTTTCTGGACAGATGACTGATAAAAAGTGTAACCTTGTCATGTAGGCAACATATTCCCGAAGGTTTTACTGATTTTACTTATATGGTCACCTAAATATGATTTTTTGAACCTGAAATGAACACAACGAGAATGAACCGGAGAGTAAATTGAAATTAATTTTTATCGGGAATTTGAAATAAATGTGTTTGAGAGGCTACAGCAAAAATACCCCTATTTCTTCCTCATCCTAAATAATTGTTTAGAGCTGTATTTTATTTAGAATGCCTAGAACCACAAATAAAAACTTAGGACCTCAAGAATGCTCAGAAGCTTTGCGCATGTCCATACAGCTTTCAGAACCTGGCACAAAACTTGTTTTAATCGCAAGTTTGAACGGGCGATTCACTTACCCCACAGTGGTGGGTAAAGTGAATCAACCTTTGACCCAAAAAAAAGGGGGCTTCCCCCCATAGTCGAAAAGGGCCAATATTTTGTTTAATTCTTTGGAAAGGGTGCTAGAATATACATTATTTTTTGCATATTTTTGTTTCGATAGCTACAAAGATATCACAAAAAACCGCAATTTTTGATCCACTTAACCCCGTTTGACGGTACCTGAAACTATCAACCAAGAAATTTGTTTAGAAAACATGATATAGGTATACATATAGGTACAGGGTTATCCAACGAAAGTGCTTTTTACCTCATATAGGTATATAGGTAAATTAAGTAAAAGGTGAACCAGGTGAAGCTGGAATTTGTTTCATTCTCATGGTGTTGATAGGAAAAAACTTTGTTGGGTGCTGGAAATATGCAGTAAATAAACAAATTGAAATGCCAGCCAATTACCAGGGACATACTCTGCTAGTGGAGAGTGATTCTCAAACTGGGTTCCGCGGAACCCCAAGGTTCCGCAAAAGGGCAATTGGTGTTCCGCAAGCAGTCAATGAAAGATTTTAAAAAACCTACAAGTTTCAATCAAATAATATTTTCCAAGGCGAGAAGAGTATCTTGATTGGGTTCGCAATTCGTTCTCAATCCAAGTTTTATCAAACTCTGTAAAACAAATTGAACAGCTTATATTGATCTTGTCGCCGATGGAAAACTTAAAACTACTTTAGACCCGGCTACTTTAATTGTAGTTTTGGGCCCACCTTAGAAGCGAATTCCAGAATTAGCCAATTTTGCTGTTAAAAAAATTGTTGCTGTTTGGTACAACTTACCGTTGTGAAGTAAGGTTTTCGAATTATGCTCTTGAAAAAAACCGACTTAAGAAGTGCACTAAACCTGAAGCAAATATGCGGATACAACCAGGATACAACTTCCAAACATTGTACCCAGTGGCGGACCTAGGACCTTTGGGGCCCGACGTAAAAAAATTTTTTGGGGCCCTGTAATGCTTTTTTTTAGGTATTTTTCTTGTGGTGTTGGGGTGTAAGGTGAGTGTGCGGAAGTTATTTATATTTTTGAAGTTTTTAACAACCAAATATAGAAACAAATTTAATCAAAAAACAAGTTTATCAAGAACATATGAGATAGAAAACAAGTTCAAGGAAAAAAAAAAATTGTAAAAATTCAGGAATTTTTTATCTAAACGAAAAGAAATACATAGTAGTACCGCACTGCACTGATACTGTCCGTACTCCACCGACAAGTGCCATAAATTATTCGAGTCTGGAAGACAATAGGCAATTTTTTGCGAGGATAACCAAGTATACCCTGCGATTTTATTCTCATCAAATTTTACCGATGGATCCACCATTCTATGGCCGTCATTGTCATTTTTCATTCACTAAACAAAGATAGCTCATTCATCGGTGAAGTCACTGATGAGAATAAAAACGCGACTATAATCTTTTGCCGTATTATATGATGTGTCATTTGTGTCATACTCCCCTAACTTCTCCACCATCAAATTTCGGGATACTCGATGATCAAGAACACTTATTTGCTTCTGTGAGAACAAACCGAAAATCACCTTTTCGACATTTAAACTCGACGAAAAAATTAACTCACTAACACAGCCTGAATCGCAAGCATTCCATCGAGGTCTGCGGGTGACGTCATTATTACAAGCTGCTGATAGTGACGTCACTCGCAGGCCCAGAATTCGATGTAGAGGGAGTTAGTGGGACTATGATGCAGTTGACATATCATATAACCCAGCATAATCATATTATGCTTGATTATCCCCGCGAAAAATTGCCTAATAGCTAAAAAAGCCGCGTAAAGTCGACGCGTCCGCGGTTGCCGCATCGCGTCGAGTGCATCAGGGCTGGGATCACGAATCACGACATTCTACTAGAATTCTACTTTCATGACGTCAGGTTGCCTAGCAACTGTCATCATCGCCTGTACTGTACGCGCTAAATGTGTCGTGAATGACGCCATGAAAGCGGAATTCTACTTGTCATGATTCCAGCCCTGGATTCCCTACAGGGCCCTTATTGTCGAAACAAGAGATAAGCGTTCTGTCTTAGTTGCCCATATTTCTATTTCCATAACACTGACAAAGACAGCGCAATCGTTCTTTCTCATGAGAACGCTGTTCCCCGGTTTCAAGAATAGGCATCCTGGTATACAACGTTGCCGTCTCTTTCAAAATTTAATTTTCGATTTTTTTTTATATCTATGAGTTTTTTTTTTATCAGCTTTTATTGGTCCCTTTTTTAGAGTCTGCTTGTGTGGGGGCCCGACGCAGAGTGCGTCGTTTGCTTCATGCTAGATCCGCCACTGATTGTACCCGATATTGACAAACTTACAGTCAAAAAATTAATGTCTATATTTTGACACAAAGCCAAACATTAAATGTCTTATATTTAGGTACCTACTTAGAGTACGTGGTAGGGGTTCCCTGGAAAATGATATCAACGGTTTCCCATTTACAATAAGTTGCTATTCCGAAACTAAAAACATAATAAATTTCATAAAAACAAAACTGAAATAACTAGTTTGTATATATATTTTTCTCTCTGTCACCCAGCTCAATTTATTGCCTAAAATACACTAGATATCAGACGTTTTATTGTCAAGCATCCTGATTTAGGTTCCGTGCCAAGTTCTTTTTAAAAGCATGGCAAGCTTGTGCTAAAAAAAATCCATCTCTCTACAAACTGATTAGGTACACAATCTACACATTCTGTTATCAGGGTTGTTAGCAACATAATTTGTTCTGTGAAAAATTATAGAAAATAAATTCATTTGACGCGATACCCGTCAAACGGGGTTAAGTGAATCAGTATGGGTAAAGTGAATCACGCCGGATGGGTTGTCAAATTTTGATGCGCAGACTCCTTATTTTTGAGCCCTTTTCGGTGTTTGCACGATATTCGTACTTTACGTATTTTAAACGCACGCTTTTTTGTGATATGGGTAAAAATTGAAAAGGTTTAGTTGCAGGAGCAAAAGTGTATGTGTTCCAAATATATGACTGATAACAAGTGTAGCCCAGTCATGTTGGCAACATATTCCCGAAGCCCGAAGGTTTTTTTGATTCTACTCATATGGTCGCATAAATACGATTTTTTTAACCTAAAGTGAATACAACAGGGAGTAAAATGCATCAGCTGCAAAATGAAACAAAAATAAACAAGATTTATCGAAAATTTGGAATTACTGTGTTTAAGAGACTACAACGAGAACTAACCCTATTTCCCTCCCCCCACCCCCCTTTAAAATGTAGAAAGAGCAGAGTGGGGGCGCTCTGACGGGGAAGCTTGTCTATACGTAAAACTTCTAAGCAATCTGGAGTGCCGTTTAACGTTTAACACTATTCACCGAATCCACTCTTAAAAAAATGGTCGCTAACCTGTGCTAAATGAGGAACAAGATCAAGAAGCTCCGCATCAAGGACTCTCTTCAAATATGCACAGTGCACTAGTGCACACAGTGGGGGTTTTCTCTAAAATCAAATGATGATATCAGGAAAATTGAGCAACAATATCTTAACAAGTTGGGACTGACTGAAAAAAGATTCAAAGACAATCTCCCCTCGATTGGGCGACTCTGGTTTGAATTATTTATGAAACGACACCAAAACTCACCGTTAAATTAGCGGAGAATGTTCTTTTTTTTGCGTTAAACCTATTTTTTGAACAAAATACACTTCTTTAAACTTTGTGAACTGGTTTACTTTACCCATTATTAGACTAAAGTGAATAAAACGCCAATTTAAACGGGTGATTCACTTTACCCCACAATGGTGGGTAAAGTGAATGAACCTTTGAAATCTGTGCCTTTGACCCGGAAAAAAGGGCGGTTATCCCATACACAGAAAGGAAAGGGCCAATATCTCATATTGAATCCTTTGGAAAGGGTTCTAGAATATACATTATTTTTCGCATATTTTTCGTCCTGATAGCTTCAAAGATATCAACAAAAAACCGCAATTTTTGATTCACTTAACCCCGTTTGACGGTACTCTTTGCGGAATTTTAAAGAAGACATCCTCTATTAATAGCTCCGGAGCTGTCAATAATGCCATTTATAATTTTAAATACCTACACAACAAATATGTTGTATTCTCCGCCTTGCTTCCAGAGTTTGTGAACTTAAAAGTCTATCTATCTATCTATCTGAAGTTCACAAAAAATGTGCTAGCTATCATCATCTGAGGTGAAATGCATGTCTCTACAGACTAGGCTAGCTCTTCTGCTATTGCAAGCGGAATTTAAGTGCGTCAAAGAAGCTTTATTAACTGGTTCAACTGATGGGAAAGGATATAGTTGAATTAAAAACTTAAATAAATAACTCAAAAACCATCGCCAACACAAATTGCGCTGCACCATATAATAATATAATACTGTGCACGTACATACATACGCAGATGTGACATCCAGTCACAGATTACGTACATACAGATGCGAGAGAGCAGAGAATTCGCGGTTCAAAATTAATTTGATGGACATAAGATGGCCGCACCAATGCCGCATCAATGTATTTTGAACATAGGTATTTATTATATAAATGCGGAAGCTCAATAATATAATATTATTTCTTTAATTAGTTCACAAACTGCAAAAAAATATTCTTTTTTACCCGCAAAAATATGTAAACACACAGGCTGGGATGACATGCTCACGCACTCGGCCACGTTAATTGTCCTGATGCGGGCGATCTGTATCTATGCGGGGGGGAGCTGGCTTCGTCACAGAATATCGTCGACGGCAAGAATACGTACTTTCGCATCTGTATTAGGTGATCTGTGATCCAGTGACAGAACCGATGTAGAAAAATTTACTCCAAACATAACTGATCTTACAAAGTCAAAAAAAAAAAACAGCAAAACAGTGACACAACAAAACTGGACGTAAAAACAAGCATGAACCTATCTAAACATATTATAATGCTAGAGAACAACAAAAATAAATTCAAAGACAACCTGTCGGTCGAGTTTGATGCAACTTATGTAACAAAGAAGGGGCTGTATTCGCTAGCAGAATTATCAAGTGTATGAAAACATACAGTTACGTCCTCCTCAATGCTATAATCGTTGGCGGTTTCATCATAAAAAAAGCAAAGGTACCTATATAGGCGAAAACTCTATCTTTGACGTAGCCCCAGAGAAAAACGAACTCACTTCCTTAACCCTTAACTTTGCCAATTTGCCGGAATTTCTTAATTAATTAGCTTCAAAATTGCTGTTCCACGATGTCGAGGATAGTGGCGATTTTTTAAATGACGCCTCTTAATAGAGAACCTTTTATAGACTAGAAAACTTTGATTGTATTTCAATAATTCTGATGTGGAGATTTTCGCTTACATATACCTACATACTATAACATACAGGGTGTCAATTTGAAAACTTACAATGGCTATATCTAAGTAACCAAAAAAAAAAATTAAAAATCTATGAAAAGAATTTCTTTGATAGGTAGGGGGAACGAAAATGATGTAATAACCATCAACCTGTTTTCACTTACCCCCTCAACCCCAGCCACCCAAACTAAATAATCTTAAATAGCAACCCCCCTACTTGTGATGCCTTATCTGAAAGCTCTTGAAAAATGCTTTTCAATGGTACCCTACAAGCTAGGATTGGATGTAATAATTGTCAATAAATGTCAAAATAAAACCATAAATGTCAAAATAAAAAATGGGAGTTGAATTTTTGACTATTGATTTATAAACATTTAAAAACATTTTTATTACTATCGTAGCATTAATCTTGAGGCCTAAACATTTTAGGCTCGCATTATTTCTTGTTTATTCGTTGTTTTGGGAACCTGAAAAAATTGACAAGTCCAAAAAAATACAATTTTAATTTAATTGAATGAAGTTTTATTTACCCAATAAACCAAAAACTATTACATCGAGTCCTAGCTTATAGGGTACCATTGAAAAGCATTTTTCAAGAGCTTTCAGATAAGGTAACACTAGTTGGTTATTACATCATTTTGGTTCCCCCTCCCTATTATAGAAATTGCTTTCAAAGATTTTTTTTTTGGTTACTCAGATATAGCTATTGTAAGTTTTTAAATTGACACCCTGTATAATCCGACTTCCGAAAAATTCAATCAGAGCAAAGGGTTTAAAGTATCAACCAACCATCCAACTTGAATTTAAACTTTCCTAGACCACCCATCAGTATCCCATTATCTTTATCAGGTAGTAAGGAAGTTCACTGATGAGGTAACGGAAATAAAACAACTTTAATATTATTTACAACTGATAATATTAATTATATTTTATAAAATGCAAAACACGTTATTCACAAATAGTACAATAATCAGTCTAGTATAAATACCTATATATCATGCTGGCCGGGATGCTACCATGACATTTTCATTCAAACAATTCCAAATTTTTACTATAAGAGCCCTCACTGATTTTTCGTTTTTTTAACATTAACAAAAAAAAGCCAGCTCAATCGAGTCAGATTGCCTTCCTCTCTGGCCAAGCGAGGAAAGAATTCTGATCCTAGAGCTTATTTTCAATAAACTGTATAGGTACGTTTTGTATTATTACGTTGTTCTAGTTTCCTGTGCAACACAAAAAGGCTGGAAAAACTATGGGATTATTTTCATAGAGATTATAGAGGAGCCTAATTAAAACCTATTCAAAATAAACAAAGAATATAAAAAAGTAATTAGTAGTGATTAAGCTTTCGATTATTACGTTTTGAAAATCAATCGTTACTGCCGATTATATTATCTAACAATATTTTCAGCACATCAGGGCAACAAACCAACTTTCTTAAAAGAGTCGTAACCCAAAAAAACAACTTAAACTACTTAAATCAAGAAAAAAAATCTAAGATCTCTCGTGAAAACCGCAGTCCTATATCCAAAATAGTTTCCGAGATAATCCTTTCTGAAGATAAATTTTGCAACTTGTGACGTCACACCGGCTAACCGTCGAACTCGCAGCCGTCTGTTTGTTAAGTCGTCAGTGAACCGTGCCCTATACTTCAAGTGGTTGCAATTCGCTCTAGGTGAGATCGTTGACTTTTGTTTTGGAGAATTTTACGCGTATTTAACTGTGCCTCCGAAGCCGGTGTGACGTCACCCCCTAGGCGTTCGTCACTTTAAACCACCCCAACTCGAAAACGGTTCATCGTAGCCAAGATGCGGTTAAAATATTTATTCTTAGATTTTTTTGCACTAAACCATTCATTTCAGAAACGCTTGGTTTTCCAGGTAACTCAATAGTTTTATCTTCCATCCCAATTCAACTAAAAACTGTCTGTCCTGAGAAATTTTTCCAACCATTTTTTGCTGCAGACTAGTTTAGGGAGAAAAAATTACAAAAATCGTGTTGTTGATTTGCTGCGAAAATGTTTATATCTAATTGGCAGATAACAGTCAATTTGATAATATGTGGATGAATTTCGCTAGTAATTAATTATGTAGAGCTTCTTACTTTACTTAGGCCCGGTTTATTTATCTTCAGATAAACTTACTGGTAACTATCTGCAAGATAAATTTAGCGTTCTGTAATTCTATCAGTTGACGGACAACTGGCCGAACAATGAGATTACAGATTGCGTTTTTATCCGTCAGATTGCATACCTGACAATTTATCAGAAGGCGAATGAACTGGCCCTTAGAGAAATAGGAAAATGTATGCAAGGATCTGATTGAAGCTGACTGATCAGATTCGTTCCAAATAGAACCATCATACTCCAGAGCAGACCTATGTTAACACGAACAACCAAATAAATATCTATGTATAAACAAGAAATGTAGTTATTTTAAAGAAATATCCTTAAAACATACTGTGCATGTGGAAGCAACCAAAATAATTTACATAATATTCCTAAATAATTTGTCTAGTTTACATTATAAGTTGGTCATTATAGTATTATCTTAAATTAAATGATATGTACCTATGAATTTCGAATTTCAAAAATCGACTATAAAAACAACTCCCAGAAAGATGATTAGTAACTGAGAATATAATATTATAAAAACATGTTTTTACTTCGATGCAACAAAATAATCAGTATATTCCATGTTTCTGAAGTTTATAATCGATGTTCATTTTAAAACCTAGCACCGTCATCTGAATTATACAAAAGTACCAAGCATCTTCATGCATTAGTTTTTCAAACAGTTTGAAACAGTAAAACAATAACAACTTGAGCTTTCGTTACAGCTTCTTTCCTGTCCAATAATATATTAAGGAAAAAGAAGATCTACAGAAAGAACTTGTTTTCTACTTCAAACAATCAGATAAGTTGGAACTTTTGTGGGTTATGACAAGGAAATTCAGTATATTGTAAACCCTTTACATGAAAAAATTGACTAAATCGCAATATTCTTACAGAATAAGTGAGTCACTCTTTCTCAAGAATCACCTTGTCAGAAATCTCGAATAAAGGATTAATGATCTGTTATGAAGGGATTTTTATTTCCTACATTTCAATTCTCGAATTTATGTGTGGCAAACTTTTTCAATTTTTCAGATTTACTCCCAGAAATTTTTGGTTTTTTGCTAAACGAGTTTCGGCAATTTTCCCAGATCCTCCTTAATCTGAAGATAATTGGGGATGGTAAGTCTTAAAATGGAATCATTGGACGCAAATGTTAAGTATCTATATGTAAAGTATAAATACAATACAAAATTATGTATCAACACATATTTTTGCAGTCATTTATATAACATGTGACTTGATATATGTATAAATAACAGATAATATAATAATGTATAATATATAAGAAGGAAGCCCGTAAATTTTGTAAAACCTACATTAAATTATAATTATTCAAAATACATGTGCTAACAACATACAAAGTATTTAATATGCAAAAACTTTGAACTTCCTGTTCTCAAAGGCTGGTGAGTAAATAAACTGTCCCCTCGACTGTCCCCAATAAAAGCACTAATAAAACCTGAAAATCTATTCGATGCAAAATCTAAATATCATCACAAACATTAATTCAAGTACCTATATAATAATGCCTATTTATTGCTGAATATACATACATACCCATTTATATTAATAGGGGCTTTAAATGTTTATTATAAAATATAAATAGGGCAAAATACAGATAAATATTAAACAATGAGAAAATAAGATTAAGACTAAGTATATCTGAGAGACAAATTTGATTTTTAATTAGTTTCAGTCATACAACAAATAAACACCTACTAAAAAATATTTAAAACACTTCAGTCAAATAATTTATAAATATGTACAAATAGTACATACTCACAAGTCTTAATAAAATCCATGTATATGTAATAAGCAAATAACCCAATTACAAACAAGCTACAATAATAAAATATTAATACACAATGAGATTCTTTAAAATAGATTTTAGTTCAACTTAGTATTGTGATCTAAATTAATAACAATTTAACAATCACAGTATATTTAATTACATAAATATTTTCCATTGATTAGTACAGAGAAACAAATAAACTTTAAACATTCTTATGATCTATTTTCGGCAGTGATATACTGATCTATCACATAGAGATGTACCTATTGGTTTCAATAATTAATTGTAATTATAGAATAAAATAATTAATAATCCAGACTTAACGAAACATATTTTTGTTAATTTCAAACATATTACATTCTTCTAATAATTTATTTTGAAAAATTATTGTCATATGCATATAATTTTTTTTTTGTGTTAAGGCCTTTTGCTATAAATGTTCTAAATAAATATATTCAAAAGCAATAATTGTATGTTCATTTCTTTTACCCAACAGAACATATACGTACATCCATAAAAAGATTTCAGAGTGAGCACAATCAATAATCAATATATAGATAATAAAACTTTAAAAAATCATCTACTTGAAATTTATACATCTCTATTATCACAAACAATTTTTTGATCAACAATTTGGCATTTAAGTAGCAACAATTAATAATTAGACATCAAGATTTTTCAAACTTAACTCATTCTCATTACGTACTAACTAACTTTTAAGAGCTTTTAATGATTTATTTACATCTTATTATTATAAAATTATATTATTAGGTTATAGCTATATATTTGTGCCTTGAAAGATCACAAATCTGAATTAGGCGCAATCGTTAACGTTACAGAAAGACCCGATTCTTTAATCAAATTTACAATATCCCCATGACTTAAATGCATTATGTCTATATGATTGACTGCGACAATATAGTCACCAACGCGAAGTCTTCCACACCGTTCTGCAGGACTATCTTCAATTAGACGACCTATAAAAATACAAGTTTCAATAAGTGATTTTAAAAAATTTATGCAAAAAGAACTACAGTTTATAAGACTTATTAGTGCCCGGCCTGATGGTTTGAATAAAAAATCTTCTCACCCAAGTTTTATCTATCACATACTTTAGAAGCATTCGCTTGAAAAGTTTAAAGTATAAATTCTTTACCATTTGTTGCCAAAAAGGCATTGCAAATTTTGAGGCAGAGATAATTGAAAATAAAATCAAAGAGTATTGGTGTCAGCACATAATTAGTGTACCTATATAGTATAATAGATAATGATACAATCTACAGAAAAAAAGGAAAACAGCGGCTGAGGTTTGACATTTGGAAAAGAACACAAATAGGTAAGAAAAAATCGATCTTTCCATTTTTTTTTCGAACTTTTCATGTTCTTTAACCTGTTACTTAGTTAAAATTTACAACCATTTATTAATGTGCTCCTTTCATGATCATCTAATATTCGAGGTATTTAGTACCTAATTAAAAAGCCCATAAGAACATTGAAATAAACTAATTAGTTGAAAACTTCGCTCACCTATAGTAGATCCAATTTTATTAACAGATGATATAATAACAAATCCAAAACCTTCACTCTCAGTTCTTTGTACTGTCACATCGTATGTAGGCCCAGAATGAGGATTAGCTAGCATTAAAGGGACAGCATGGTTCGTAGGTATAGAGGGCGACGTATTTTCCATAGGCCAACCAACTGAAGGGTAATTCATTGAACCTTGTGCCGCTGGTGGTGAAAAAGTTCTACGTCTTAGAATAAGGCTTACTTGACCTCTAGCGGCTGCTGCATTTATTAATTGGACAACTTGTCGGTGTTCAGCTTTTAAAACTGAGAATCCTTCTACGCTAACTATTTCATCTCCAGTTTGCATACGACCGTCCAAATCAGCTGCACCTCCAGGAACTATTTGACCAACAGCGACCTTAAAAGATTTCAAAGATTGGTTACATACTTAATAAATTTGTAAAATTGATATCTTGTATTTAAAAAAACATATGTGATATAGCAATTTAGTTTTATAACAAGTTCATGTTATTCCCTGAAAGCTATAAACAAAATGTGTTATTTTGAGCTACACGCGTTTCTCAAAATGTCACTGAAGGCAGGGTCGTAATCAGTAAGTTCTAGTTTAGTAAAACTCGAGTGACAAGTTCAAGTACCAGTTAAGTTCAACTGAACCATGATTTCAAAGAAAAATTTTACACCAATCCTAATAAGAGTTAATGCACCAGAATCAGTAGGACTTTTCGGAAAAGCTGATCTGCTTAACCGGATCACCAGCTGATGTACTTTGTCTTTTCTCAAGCATCTTCATAAAAGCAGGATAAGAAACAAACACCTGGTGATCAGGTTGATCGGATTAGCGTTTGCGAAAAGGCCTAAAGTAGACAGTGTAATGTAACTTGAAAGGATAGGTATACTGAAATTTATGTGAATACGGAACTTACATCAATTTTTTTTATCGCTGATTTCGTTAGTCTATGAAAATAAGTCAACGCGTTTTTTTCTTTTTCTTCTTAGTCAAAAATTGACGGAGATACAACACTATAAAATGTGCCTTTGACAGCATAAATCATATAACTTTATGACGTTGCACATGCTCAGTATATCTATACATACAAAACTTAATATTATGTTTACCTTTCGGAATAATCGTACAATAATCAATTTAATTTTTCATACAAGTACCCTATTTGGTCGAGTTGATGAAGAACAACAAATATTTGCTTTGTCTGTGTCCTAAGTTCAGTAAAATATATAATTACATACACAGCAATTCTAAAAAAAGATATGACGTCATCGATTTTTTCAATTGGGGGTTCCTGATCGCTGGCACAAATAAATAACTGAAAAACTCATTTAATAAATTGAATTGCGTTCCTTTAAATTTTCTTAGAATCTGGATATTAAAAAATGTTGGGAATAGACATGCAAATTTCAAGTATAATTAGACCCCCTTTTAAAGTTACCAATTGAAAATGGGCAGTCATTGAAAATAAATAATTTATCCCTAACTAAACTGCTGGCCTTCGAGCAAGGAAAACCAGACCAAATATCGACCTCCGGTTTTCACAGGCTGACAGATTGACTTTTTGTGAAAAAAATGCTATATGGAAACCAGAGATATATATTTTGGTTCCAAAAATATCGAGCTTGAAAGTTAGGCGAAATTTTCATTTTGCTCGAAAGCAATTATTATTGTTCAGCAGTTTATTTAATTTTAATTTTTTTTTTTGGTATTTTGCCAACATTTCAATTATTTGTTTTTTCTTCATTTCCAATTATGCCCATTCCAAAAATCAGTGAGGGAGCCCATTGAGAGCAATGTATGGGACTGTATTTGTGCCTTGCAAGATCTAGATATAGCTTGTACTTTGATTTAGAAACAGAAAAATAGGATGGAACAGATAGTTTTAGAGAGTCAATAATTTTTTTTTTTTTTTTTTTTTTTTTTACGGATATGCGCATTCGCAAGGAAATGTCCTATCACGCTCGAGAAGCGGCAAGTGCGCGGAAATGTCGGTGTATGTTGGTCTTGAAACGGTTCAGGTTGTAACCTGCAGGGAAAACCGTCGCAGGGAGTTTATTCCACAGCGATGCTGTTCTCCAGAGATATGAATTCTGATATAATGAGGTTCTTGGTGCCTCTAGTTTGACAGTAAATTCATGGTTACCGTCTGTTTGACGGGTTCGTCTGGTAGGTGCTACTCTCGGTGGAATCATACGTGCCAACTCTTCAGAGCATTTTCCGTGATAGTACCTGTAGAAGAGAGATAAATCGCCCACAGATCTGCGATGTTCGAGACCATCCAAGTTACGAGTAAGTGCGGGGTCATTGATCAACTTGATAGCTCGTTTTTGCACGGTATTCAAAAGCATTAAGGTATGTTTGGGTGCTGCACTCCATATATGTGAGCAGTACTCCATAGTTGGTCGAATCTGGGCTTTGTAGAGTGTCAGCAATTGGCTTGGTGTGTACAGATGTCTTGTACGAAAGAGCACCCCCAGCTTTTGGGAGGCCCTTTTAGCAATATCTGCCACGTGACTGTGCCAAGACATGTTGGTCTCTGCAGTAACCCCCAAGATGTTCAACTGACTCTGTAATGTGACAGCACTTCCAGATAGCATGATGTTTGGCTCACCGGTGGTGTTCTTTTTTGAAAACAGAGCTGCTTGGGTTTTCTGTGCGTTGAACTGTACAAGGTTTTTGTTACCCCAGTCCTCTATTATCTCCAGGTCGTTATTTATCTGCGATATTTGAGTTAGTCTAAGATGATGGAATTCACGTGCGGAAAGACCTGTGGGTGGTATGAGTGAGGAGACTAAATTGCCATCGTCTGCAAAGCAATAAAGTGGATTTACTGTTTTATCTATGAGGTCATTTATGTAAATCAGGAAAAGAGTTGGCGAAAGGATTGCTCCCTGTGGCACACCAGCATTTATTTTGTTACTATCTCTTGAGCAGCCTAGCCTGCCTACATTAATTTGAAGATGGCATTATTATCAACTGTAATAACTAATAACTCTTTGTAAAATCGGCGTCAAAACTGATGAGAGACAAGAAAAAACACGACCTTTGAGATAAGACGAGAGAGAGCACACCCTCGTCTCATTTTGCAGCTTCACTAATTTCCACTACATAAGAGACAATTCAATTAAATAAATGTTGTTTCTTACTTGTGATTTATCTTCAATTCCCCCAACAATCCTAAAGCCAAATCCAGTTTCTAATCGGTTTAAGATAACATGCATTGTGACATAATCATTGCGGCTGTTTTGTTGATACCACCAGTGATTATTGAACTTTTTGCCATTACTGGGATTATCAAAATTGTTAGTATCCATTAGATGAGGTCTAGGACTCGAGCAAAAAGCACAGGCACAATCATATCGATGAGGGGGAGGCAGGTAGAGATTGAATTTGGGATCCACTGGAGGGGGATATTCGTAAGATGGTTTGCTTTGATTATCTTCTGGTATATCTATATCTAAATCGTCTTCCTCATGGTTATCAATAATTGATGATCTTAATCTCGATCTGTCAGGAGCAAAACCTTCGTTCGAGAACTCTCGATGCAGAATTTCGTTGGAATTAGAATTGACGTCTTTAACTGGAGTTTTACTAAGGCTTCTAGTGTCTACTAGAGGCGTTTTGGGTCTACTAGGAAGTACTTCTCTTTGTTGTGTGCTGTAAATATCTGCAGTGGGTGTTTTACTTCTATAAACATTGGCTACATCTTTGGGTGTAAATTTAGTATCTAATTTTCTAGGTTTATTTCTAATATTCGATGTTTTATTAGGGCATCCTCTTTGAACACAAATTGTCGCTTCACTATTATAAGGGCAATTTTTTAGTACTTGAACAACATCATCATGTGACATGCTTTGCAATAAAATATCATTTATCTCTAATAATATATCACCTTCCATAAGATTTTTACATCTTTGGCGATCTAAAATCTTTTTCACTCTTTGTCCACATGCACTATCAGCTATTGTAAATCCGAAACCAAGATTTCCTTTTACAATCAGGACTCTCACTTCAACTTTTCCCAAAGTCATTGTGTTTATTCCTTTCAACAAGTCATCAATTTCATCAGGGGCATCAATATTTTCTTCACTTCTTGAAATACTATCTTCTCCATCTAGAAAATTATAATTGGTATCCAGTAATCTCTTATCATTAGATACTGGTTGTAAATGAGCATCGACAGCAATAGTAGTCACTACTTCAGTATTTGGGTCATTTGGATCAAAAGGCAACGGATAACCTCTGCACACTTCAAGTTGAACTGTAGACCCTACACTTATAGATTGAAACAGCCTAACTATTTGATTATGAGTATAACCTAATACACATGTTTTATTTACAAATACTATAACATCGCCAGTTTGAAGTTGTCCATCCAACCATGCAGGTCCTTTCGGCACTACCGATTTAATTTGCAAAAATTCATCTACAGCATCATCTCCACCAACAATAGTAAAACCCAAGCCCCTAGATGACTTCACTAGAGAGGTCCTTAACCTTTGACCACATAATTCGGAAGGATCTTTTGTAAAATACGTTCTCCCGACTCTTGCTGAAGATTGAGATGCAGCTCTCTTTGCTTGTATAACTGGATTTTCATATTGTGTTCGCCTATTCACATGATCAATAAAATAGGTACCATAATGTGGATCACTAATTTTTTCCCAGCCATAGGGTAGTTCATCATCCAAACAATCCTCTAGAGTTTTCTTTTGGAATTTGGATAGTCTTGGGTCAAGCCAGTGAGAGGTTCCAGTAGAATGACTAGAACAAAAAAATATAGTGAGTATTTTTATTTAAAAAAATTGTACAGAAAAAGAGCAGTACCAGCAGCAATAAACATTGTACCTACTGTTAAGGTCTCAACCAAGATCTCAACTATCAAAAAAATATAGAATTAGGTAAAAAATAATTATTCAAAAGATTGAGTGTTCACATATGGAGAAAATACAGACAATTACATTACTCATATTTTCATTATTATCAAAGAAAGTGCTGCTAAATAATAAACAAATATGTTTGATTAGTCTTCCGTGTCCTCCAATTATTAGGTAAACTTATGTTTACACAAAACCAAAGACTGAATAATTATCTAACTCCGTCGACGTTTCGCGTTTATTTAAGCGCTTAAAGATTAGTTCCCTACACAAAAAAGATCGTAAACTAAGTCATACAAAAACAATTTTGAAAACAATAGCTACGTTTGTTTGTGTCGCACTAACTTAAACTAAGCTGTAATATTTCAGATTATGGTAGATACACCCATATAAATCGCTCACAAACGAACGCCTCAAAGCAGGAAGCGCTGCCCCGAACAACATAAACAAACAAACCTAATAAATACATTTTAAAAAGTGCGTAAGGCAACCATCAAGATAATAAATACACCATCATAAAAAATACAGTAAAAAAAGACTGAGCGCACACTACTCAGTGAGGAATTTCAAACAGGTGGAAACCATGGAGTCCTTTTTTGTTTAATTTTTTATGATGGTGCTCGTGATGGTGTATGTAATTATTATTATTGATTTAAAATTCTAATACAAAAAAGTCAAAACCATTTCTCTCAGTGCTCTATTTTTATCAACAAAATTCGATTTTGTTGAAAATGGTTAAAAATATAAAAAAGACTGGCATTCTCCCTCCAGCAAGGTATTCAATTTTAGGTTCCTTATTCAATTTAATTCAAAACCAATAGGTAGGTACAGTTGCGATAAAAAAAAAGTAGTACAAAAATTATTAACACCAATTTGAGCTCCCGGTGTGACATACAAAATTTTGACAGTAAATAAACATTTCAAAATAAATATGTCGGATTCAGGCAATGACATATTCTATAGGTTAAAAACGGGAAAATGCCAAAATAATGTCATCCGAACCCTTCTAGTTATAAACTTGCCAAAGTGATGTCATTTTTGGTTATAAATTAAATTATTGTATGATAGACCAGGCGATTTTGGAGATTTTTATTGTAATACTTTTTTTTATCGCAACTGTACCTAGTGTTTTTCTTTGATTTATTTTTCAACTTCAAATAAAATTGTCAATGTGCAATGTGCTAATAATCCTATAGGAACGACATCATAAACACTGATACCAAAAGCAAAACTGTTCCACACAATATTACCACATGTTCCTTTCTAATTATAGCACAGACGTGAAATGACCCTCTTCTTCTGCCCTGATAAAATATCAAATTTCATATAAGTCCTTGCAACTGAATTTACTCGTGAATTTATATACCTACAGAGGTTTCCACACGCTTTATCAGTAGCCACGCATATTTACTAGGAGATAAACATTAACTTGTACTTATAAAAACTGGATATAGATATAGGTAATATCAAAACTGATGAATCAAGGCAAACAATATGTCTATTTTCAGCTACACCTCAACAGGCTTCAGATCTGGGATTATAATTGTAACACATTAAACTACCTACTTTATTGACAAAAAATATAGGTAGTACTAGAAAAGTAGTAACTGCTTCAAATACCTAATAGGTATGCATCATAAAAACGTCTATTATACCTTACCTAGCATGTAGTAATAACATACTTTTAAATCTTGTTTTAAATTTAATTTACGCGTCAACTACATTTGGAAAATCTTACACTAATAAACTGGCACCAGCTGCATAATCTTATTAAAGGTTCAATTTAATAAGTAGGTCATTAAAATATATTATTTTAAGTCTTAATGTTAGATTAATAGTGCATTTAAAATTATTACATAATTTTGTGATATAAAATAATACTTATTACTCAATTTAAAAGTAGTCTATTGGTTTATTGAATATGGATTTCTTTTATATGTAGTTAATTAAAAATATGTATCATGGCCTAATTTTCTCTTGAATTATCTTTACTTTTTATCTAGGTCTCGACAACTATGTCCCAAAATTTTGATGAGTTTATTTAGATGTTCAATGGGATATGAACATTGAATTTTATTCTTACAACCAGGGAGAATTCATTGACAGGTTCAAATTACTTTGTCTCAAGCAGGGTTATTATGTTGTGGCCGAATGTATTATTACGGAATAACCAAAGAAATTACATTGTGTGGAAATACCCATGCTACTGCGTTCAACCCCTTTCCAGGTTTTCATTGTCTGAATTAAATAAACAACAATTTAGAAGAGTTCTGGAGTGATTTCTGGCTTGAATAATTTTGTATTCAAAGCTTGTAGGTTGTAAGTTGCAATCAGTTGAAATCGAGTTTTAAATAAGAGACTTGCTGTACAAAGTTAAATAGAAGCGATAAGTGATAAGTAGGGACCGACGGATATGGAAATTTTAGCCGATACCGATATTTCAAAGATCGATATATCGGCATGTCGGCCATTCGTTTTTTTTCTGTCGTAATAATTCGTCCTGTATTGCTTGAAAAATTGTTCGTATTGCCGAATGGAATGTTCCGCAATTGTCGGAGCTTAAACGTCGGAGCTTTTTCCTGCAAGTCTAAATTTTTATTGCGTGTCGTCTATCATCTTCTCATTCTCATGCTAATTTGTGCTTTATATTGTTGTTGGATGTGTTTTAAACTATAAAATAGAGAATAGAGCAAATTATTGTTTGAGGAAAAGCTCAAAGAAAAGTAAGCGGTGGAATCCCATCACAGAGCAGGGCATTTTCAATCTATTTGGGTTAGCTGACTTCATAAATTGGAATTTTGTTGCCTCAGGCCTAATATCAACTGATGACAAATTCTCTCTCTTTGTCAACCTTCTCAAGAATAATGTTGAGTTAGCTTTTCCAGGAGTTGAAACTAGCTTTCATGCTAAAAAATACATTAAATGGTATAATGACAGTCTGCATGAACAGAGAGAAAATTTGCATTGAGTTCCAGGAGCAGCAAAACAGAGGAACTGTCCTATTCTGACACAGTTAAAACAGTCTCTAAAAAGAAACTACCAAATTTCTATAAAAGAATCACAAAAAATGGCCCATTTTTTGTACCTACAAAAACATAATTTTAGCCCTAAAACAATATGGGAACTAGTGAGGGAACAGTCTAATATACAAAACAAAAATGCCAAATAAACAGAAATAATTTCTCCCCAAATGACTATAATCTTTACTTCACCAATATAGCAGCCCAAATTGTTAGTAACCTACCTGCAGCCATAAATACACCAGAACACAATAGGTCTGTTCCAAAATGTGAAAAGCCGTCCCATGAACGGTTTGCGAAACCACTCAGTGAACGAATTTTAGTTTCTACGCACAAATTTTATGCTTTGCGCAGAATCGTGACGGTACATGGTACGATTTCCTGCTGTGTTAAAACAGACCTTATGTAAACAAATTTCTTTCAAAAATAAGTATATCCAACTCAGTTTTTAATTTCACTCCCATATCTATCAATGAAGTTAGAGACATTGTAAGACAATTAAAAAACAAAAATAGCAAGGATTTTTATGGAACAAACTCTAAAATAATAAAATCGGCTATTAATATTATTATATGTCCTCTAACCAAGCTGTTAAATTTATGTATAAGAGATGCAGTATTTCCATCAATTCCAAAAATATCGAGGGTTCTGCTAAAATATAAAAAAGGTGAAGTAGAGGATTTAAGTAACTACCGTCCTATATCAATTGTCCCTGTTTTCTCCAAGATGTTTGAAAAGGCACTTAAAAACAGAATAACCAATTATTTCGAAAATCAAAATTTGTTTAGCTCTAAGCAGTTTGGCTTTAGGAATGGCAAGTCTACTACTAGCGCTATCAATTTATTCATAGAGAAGGTTAATGAAGGGATAGAAAATGGGGAATAATAACCGAACATTGTAATAATTACCATTGTTGAAAACCAGTTTATATTTCTTGACAAATTTCAATTCACTTTTCAAAATTATTAAAAGCAAAATTCCAAGATTAAAGCAAGAGTTCAATAAGAAGAATAAATTTTCAACAATGGCTAATTCTAGAATAAATTAACTAACTTTACAAGTAGGTTTTTATACATATTTTATAACAGGGCAGAGTTTTTAGTTCGTCAAACTATGATAGGTTTCATCGACTATGTGATAGTGCTTCCTGGAGGAGTGTTTTTTCATCTCTGGATCCTATTGGGAAGTTTCACAATAAATTGATGCAAAATTTTCACACGTCATTTCCTGTTAGGAAAATTAAATTAATAGATAAAAAACCCTGGTTTACCAGAGGACTTAGGTTGTCCTCTAAGAATCTTCGAAATCTTCACTATATTAGAAAACTCACAGATAATCCACACTTTTACACCTATTTCAATAACTACCGGTCAATCTACAGAAAACTTATAAAGTTGGCCAAAGATTTACATTACTCGTATCGTCTTGCAAATGCATCCAACAAACAAAGGGAAAGTTGGTCGATTATAAACGATATTCGTAAAAAAGTCAGTTTTCCCCAAGCATCCATGATAGCGTCATGTCTCCTGACTCAGTCAACAAATTTTACTGTTCTATGGCAGAAAACCTGACCAAAAATATCACTCAACACACTGATCCACTTAGTTTTCTCTCAAACAATGCAGGGATCAATCGTTCCTTTTACTTTTTTGCTACTTCCCTTGAAGGATTAAAACAGATCATATCAGGTATTAAAAATAAAAAAAGCTCTGGGGATGATGGTCTGTCTACGAGTCTGTCTATAAAATTTTTTGCAATTTTACCTGACAAGGTTTTGGTTCAGGCAATCAATTTGTCTTGGGAGTCTGGTGTCTTCTCTTCCTGCCTTAAGCTGGCAAAAGTAATTCCATTTCACAAGAGCGGAGAT